ATTCAAGATTAACGTTCAATTGATTGTAACATCTTGTGTTGGTCATATATTAACAGATCGGTAACCTTTAACATCACCATTAAAATATTGAGAAAATTACTATTTATTTAAAATGAACTTAGGAGTAAATCCTTTTTATGTTTTTAATCAAGCCTAACACTTTGATTTGTGGAAGGGGACCATCTTATTTGAAAGCGTGTGGAAATACTGTAATTGTTTTGACTTAAGTGAGAGTTCTAAGCACTTCTACCATTCCACTGAACTCGGTGAATTAAGAAAAGTTAAAAACTGTTGTCACCTCTACTTCTTGCAGTTTGAAACAATCAGCTGTATTGAACTTCATCTATTCTCCTGAAATTCATGACTTGACTGCAGGAAATCCAAGAAATCAAGGAGAATGAATGGCTCTATATTGCAAAAGGAGTTGATCGGCATCAACAAGGCTGGTGAGACGCATACTCTTGCTGAGTTAGTTGGGAAAGAGTGGTTGTTGTTGGATTCCCACTGGTCCCTCAAATTTCAAACTTGCAGTGGCGATGACGGTTACCTTTTGGAGTTGGTTGGTGGTTCCAGGATTGTGAGTGTTCATCCACTATTCCTTCCAAATTTTATTATAAACAAGTTCATTACATGTCCCTAAGATTGCCACTATTTAATTTCACTCATCGACAGAATGATTGATTTTTTTTCACAAGTTCACGTGGTCTTTGCTCTCCATAATATACAGTTTCCTTACTCATTTCACAGGTAAAGTTCTTCCCTGGTCAAAAATTGGATTATGAGCACAAGCATTGTGCAAAGCGAAGAAATCAAGATGATTTTATGACAGCAATTGAATTCTCTTCAGAGCACCCATACGGAAAGGCACTGGCGTTGCTCGACTTAAAATCTGGCGTTGTCAATGTAAAGTCATAATATTCATTTACAGTACATTACTTGTTTCAATTTCGAAAACATGGGTTTACATCTGCCTGACTGCACATGTTTCTTTGAAAAATCAGGTCAAAGAAGAGTGGCTATTCTTGCCTGTGATAATAACAGCTTTTATACTAGGTGATATTTTGAGAAAGGAAGGGTATAGTAACTTGCTGAGCATTGGCAACAATTTGAAGGATAAGAATACTTCAACTGAAGAAACTAATGCATGCCAAATGAATAGGACAACAGAAGTAGTCTGAACTTGTGTTGCTCATAAGGCAATGCTATATATGTGGATGTAGAGGTCGCAAAAGGAGGTGCAAACAGTGGAGGCTGTGGCAGTTCTTGCATTTGGTATGACGGAAATCATTTACATGGGAGTAGTTGTAAATTGTAAAGGAGTTGAAAGTATTTAAAATTATTATGATTGAAAAAAAATACTTTTTAACTATATAAATAATACTTAAGATAAACAAATTAAAATAAAGACTTGCTCGGCCCTGCCCTACACACTTAACAAAGTGGGAACTGAATGTGTAGTAAAGCATTAGCTAACCTTGTTTCGTAGCTGACATGTATAATACAACTTGCAATTCACTTTCATGATGTGTTTTTCTCTTTTCCAATATGACAGCAGAGGCAAATGTATACTGTATTAAAGATACCATAATCGTACTGGTGGATTGTTAACTCTAATTTATTTTTATATATATATACATGGTTATAATATAATTAAAAAAAATTTATATATATATATGTACGATACTATGGTATTAACGCAAGATAAATGATTCACATGAGAGTATTAAGGTAATAATTTTCCAATTTACATAGTATCTCTTCTATGACATTTCTTACTTATCATATCACAATTTATAAATCCACATAGGCTCCTCCTTATTTCTGCCGTCAGCAGAAGAACAAGAGGCTAGAGAAAATAAAATAAAATAAAATTCAGTCAGTTTAATTCCACCACACACAAGAAAATTTTATCTTAAAAATGGTCCTTACCTAATATCAGTGATGAGGAAAATCAGGTTTCGATTATGCGTAATCTGTTTTGTTTTCAGTTTACGAAAATGAAAATTTCTACTTAATTGGTTAAAATAAATAAATGACTACTAAATTAAATTTTCCACCTTATGTTGTGCGTGAGCTGGATATAGCTTTTATCAAGCATCTATTTGTAGAGTTCTATTTGGTCATTTGATTTTAGATATGTAGAGTAGATAGTTTTTTGAAGGTTGATTTGGAGATTCATGTGGAATTTTTCTTGCAGCGTCAAGTCAAATTTAAGGTATGTTTTCCTGCATCTACTCCTTTTTGAGGATTTTACCATGCGATCTGCTAATTTCTCTATTGGTGTTAAAGTATTTAGTCCTTTTTGTAAGCTTTAGGTTCTTCTGTCACGGATCTAATGTGATATGGTGTTCATCAATGATCTGTGATCCACCCAGGACGAGTTTCCCATGACTCATGCTAATTTTACATTAATTAGCTTCTATTATCTTACATAACAATCTCTCCTTCCCAAACAGATGGAGGTGTTTTATTCAGAGAAGGTTAACTGCGGTGAATTATGGCGTAATTAGACTTTAAATAAATGTAGTATGAGTTACAACTTTTATAGTTAAATTGTTGTTGAAATTGAGGGGAAAAAAAGAACTGGTTGATTCAAGGCCAAAGCAGTGTTTCCATCTGATTTTATCAATGACAGTAGATAATATCTAAACGTGTTCAGAAATCATCAACCCATTCGGGATTTCGGAACACGGGTTTGAGACTAGTTCGTAGGTTGTTTATGTTCAGTGTTCGTGAAAATAAGTGGAAGATCTAATGGATTGAGAAGGATCTTACTCCCTTCAAAGTACATGGTTGACAAAAGAGGTACTTATGATGCTGCTGAAGCATCTTGTTACCATCCAACAAGTGTAACTACGATTCTGTAGTTTGGTCATGTCGACCATACATGATGTTTTTGACATCATAAATTTCCTTGATTTGTCTCACCTCATTCAAATAAATCTGAATGCTATGTTTTACTTGAGGGAATAGCAAACACTTTTCACTTCTAATCCGGAATCTATCTTTTCCTAGTTAGTTCTATAAATCTGTGCTTTCCTGGGATTGAATGACTCCATAATTTTTTGTTTCTTGCCAGCACTAAATGAGGAAGACTACATGTGGGATTTTCGTGAACAATATATTTTTGGCAGTGTCATTCTGAAAGCTAAGATGGAACAGGTTCTTAATTTAGATGAAGCGTGTATGAGTAAAATTTATGAGTCTTATTTGAGTTTTGTTGCAACACAGGAAAGAACTAAAGGGTAAAGTGAAAAATGTCAAAGTGGCTCAATAACATGCTTGATACCAATCAACAAATTCTCTTAGAATAGGATTAGGTTATCAGTATCATAGATTTCAAAGGCCCAGTCATTCCAGTGTTCTGAGAAATTGAAGTTTGTTCAGGTTGGTTCGTTCCTTGTAGTCCAGTTACCTATGTTATTATGTGGGTCATCATGGTCTCTTTGTCTCAGATGTTGGAGTAGAAGGTTGAGAAATGGAAATATGAATAGAAGTCTTTTTAACAAGTTTATAAGCCTAATCTGCCTAGTATTTGTTTTATTCTTATAGAAGAAAACTCCCTTCCTGATGTTTTCATTCTTCAGCTTAGAAGCTATGGACTCATAAAATTTCATTTACCTATTTTCTGCTTCTGTTCCTAAGAGAAACCATTATGATTGACAAATTCAACTATGACCTTTGCTGACGTTAGATACTTATCACAAGATAGGTTGGGGATCTATTCTATCTCTAGACATCTTGAACAAATCCTTTTACCATTTCCTACCTTTGAGCAGGTCTAACTTCTTGTCATTTTACATGGTTCTCTTCATCAACAGTATATGTATTGACTCAGCATACTAACAACTGCAGTCGATCTGTGTAGTGATTATTTTTCCCATTAGCATCATTTACTTTCATGTAGAAGCAGTGGTGGGGCCAGAATTTTTAATAAGGGGGTTCAAAATCTGAGAAGTAAACACACGAACTAGTGGAAGGGGGTTCGACATCTATTATACATACCTAAAAAATAATTTTAACCATGTATAAATATTAATATTTTCCGCCAAGGGTGTTCGGATGAACCCCCTAGGTATATGCTGCCTCCGCCCCTGTGTAGAAGTGTATTTGAATGTGTTGCGCAAAGTTTAAACAGCTTTGTGAAAAAACAGTTCACTGTAAAGTATTGCCTGGTATATACAGTATATAACAAAAAGGCATAATCAGACAAGAACGCTCATAAGTCACGTTGTATGTCAACTAAATTAAGTTGCCAGTTATTAACAAATACATATTTCAGAAGAAATTTCTGGTTTCGATTTGTAAATCTCCCCTTAATATTAACTGCAATAGTGCGGCATCTTATTTGCATCAAACAGTAAGCATATACAGGGTTTTCCCACAATGCCCATGAAAATTTGGACCTGGGTATTGCAAATATTGGTTAGCTGACCATATTTACTATGTTTTCAACATTCCAGTCGCCAGAAGTATCCATGCCCTTTCATAACTTTCTTGTATATAAGTATTATCACTCCTAAACTTTTGGTAGGGGATGTGTTTGATAGTTGGCAACTTCCTCTCCTGTCTATCTCGGTTTCAACCATCAAGATTTTGATATGTCTCTTTATTTCTGATCAAAGGAATGTCATTTTGTTTTCCTGAAAATCCTACATATTTTTAGCAGGATTGAAAAATCTTCTTCCTATTACTCAAACAAGCAAGAAAACTATGTAATTTTGGGCTTTTCAGTGAATAAACATCTTGCTTGATGTGATTTGTGAGACCAATATGAAATGAATTTGTAATCACAGTGCCTATAGTCTTTAGGATTTGGGAGCGGGAGCAGTTCATGGAGTTTAAAGATGTGTGTTGACTGCATTGATTAGTGGAAATGCTTTTCTGGTTTTTTATCTGCAGGGCTTTGCTAGTAAATATCGTGATGGTCCAGGATATCCTATATTCAGAACTCTATTGGTTGTGAATAATGTTATCCATTTTGTCACTTACTCATTGCATCACTCAGAAGGAAACAACTGTAGACTTACAACTCTTCATAAATACACTCTCCAAAATAGGTACTTGGTGCTATCAGTTTCTACGAACTTGCTTGCAAGATCCCTTATGCATAGTCAGCTTTTGTTGGGATGGGCAGGCACTGAACTGGCTCCTAATTCTTCAATAACAGAATAACATTTGTATTTAGGATTGAAAGACTGAGCAGATTTACAGTTTACCTTTCTCCACCTCCCTTTTGGGGCACTATTAGAGAACTCATTTAGTGTCAACTAAAGGTTCCATCTATTACTTGTATTATTTTCTCAAGGTCTTAATTTAGAACTTTTGAAGCTATGTCGTTGCCTGTCATCCAACGTGTTTCTATTAAATCACTTATGTTAACTCCTCCTTGGTGGTGCTATCTCAGACTAGTTCAGAAGCCTGGAAACTGAAGTCCCGTTGTTACCATGACAAGTTGGATCCAACTAGGAGGTTATCCAACTGAATTCTATCAAAAATGAAAGGTATAGATTCTTCGTGTGAAAAAATAAGAGTTGACAGGTTAAGTCAACAGTATGAATAGCATTCATAAGGACAGGATAAGAAAAGGCATATGCTCAATGGAGTGCTCAACAGAAGGGTGCATGTTGAACAGCAACAGTGACCCAAACAAAACTTTGGTCCAGGTTTCTAGCCTTTGAAATGAGTCTTTAAAACTAACATATCCCATTAGCACTTCTCTTATCCTCACAAGTGAAACAACTCCAGGTAAAGTGAATTATGGAATATGGAGCAAGTACTGTCACCGGGCATTTGGCATCAAAAAGAGCAAATTTCTGAGACAAGAAGTCTCGTAGCAGCCTCGTGAGTTAGAAGAGCTAGTTTCTCTTTTCCATGTGGTAGGAGGTTCCACCAAGGTTCAGGTATATGTCATATTTTTCCCTTGCAAAGACACTTATTGAATCTTCTTTGCTGATGTTTTACTAGTGTGGCTTAATGATTTTTGAGGCTATGGACCATTGAACCAATCCGTTGGAGCTTTCTCCACACACATCTAATATTGCCAGTTGGTTTTCATGAAGTGAAAAGACATTTGCAAATGAGATATTTGGTCAAGTACTTCGAGAGTAGTAAAAATTGTTTTCAGAAGCTAGAACAAAAACATTTTTTGCTTAAAAGTATTTTTTTGTTGTTGTGAAAAATGCACTTAGAGATGCTTTTTAAAAATGTAGCCAGAACACTAATTGTTGCTCAAAATTACTTCTTATATTGAACAGCAAAACACAAAATTTTTGTTTTATTTTCCCAAAGCAGGTGATTCGGTAAATTTGAATTTGCTTGAGTTCCAGGGATTCTTGATACATTACATCAGTATTATGTTTGTTTGGCTGTTTCAAATTTGTGCTGATTGTCTTTTCATATAGAAGTGGTGTTCACTTCATCAGAGCTAGAGAACAATGTCAAAGTAAAAGCAGTAAAGAAATAAGAAGTTGAAACAGAAGATCCATATGAGATTACTTCTTGGGGTTCATAGAGACTACAGCTTTGTTCTACAAACTCAGTCATCAGTCTGCACTGTACAAGTTACTTCTTCTATCCTTACTAAACACTGAATCAGCAGGTGTTCTGTATACAAGCAAAAAATAAACCCATAATGTTTGTTGTCGGTCCCCCATTTGTAACATCCTACCTACCACTACTCTGTAGTTAGCTAAAACCTCTCAATTTCCTAATCCTGAACTAGTCATACTTCTTAAAAGCTAAAACCCAGCCAAACTGTGATATCTTCTGTGCTGCTAAAACAGATGCACAAAAAGCAGCCAGAGAAAATACTAACAGAAGCACCATAGCACTATTCAAACCCATTAATGGCTTAGGTTGTAGGAGCTTCTTGTGCTGCTTCAACATAAGGTGACTGTACACTATCCTCATCAGAATCACTCCCAGAAGAACTTCCTGAATCTGTAAATATTAACCATGGCAAAAGTAAATATACCATCACACTTGTTAACCAGAATGAACTAAAGAAAGAAAAAGTTATACCACCGGAAGAAGAACCACTGCCAGAACTTGAGCCGCTAGAGCTGCTTGGATCCTTGTCGATCTGCACAGGAGGAAAGTTTTCACCTGGTATTTCCTCACCAATATCAACATCCTCCTCCACAACGTCCACTTTCTTGATTTCAGGCATTGCATGTTCTGGTGTTGGTGCCTTCTCAGGCGACTTATTTACAAAAAGCAACATGGTGATCAGCACACATGGCACAATATAGAGTTACTTAACAAATGTATGGGGAAAAAAAGCCATATGATTTCTTTACCTTGTTGAGCAGTACGGCCGCGGCATTTTCTGTGACTCCTGGTCTCTCAATCTTGCTCATAGCCTCCTTATGGGAAATAACATATCTATCCAGTTCCCACAGTGTTTCATTGTCCATGATCTCAAGGTCGAGCTCAACCTCATTCCCATCCTGTGTAAGATTAGGGAATTTCCTCTTCACAATTTGCACGACATGTTCCATATTCTCTGGGGGAAGATTCTGCAACTCATTCCCTAACTTGTCCCTTTCACCTTCGGTCATAAGCCTTTTGTTCGGATCCTTAGCCTTCAGCTTGGGCATCTTAGCTGACCTAGTCATCTCAACAACAGGCAGTAGAGGAGATTTTGAAGCAGGGGTTGCAAAAAAAGGTGCAACAGGTGCACTGAAAGAGTGGATATGAGATTGGTGTTGATTCAACAAAGTGGAATGTGACCGCACAGATCCTGATTTCTTTACAACTGGCAACGGTGGACGCTTAGCATTTGGTGCAGGCTGAGACAGATTCTTCTGGTGATTCACCTGCATAATAGTGGCAACTTTATGGTGCTCAGCTTCATACTTCTCATACGCTGGTTTGAACATCTCTTCAAAGATACCAAGATACTCCTCAGCCGCAATATGCACATACTGGCCTTTTGGGTTATAAGTCATGGCATTGGTGAATGTAAGCCTCACATCAGCTGCAAAATCTTGTGGCGTTCTGTACTCATTTTTGTCCAGTCTTGATTTCACAGTTCCGAGATCCATGGGATGCTTGATGAAATCATGATAGTCATAAAGATTCAAACCCTTAACATCCACTGGTGCATTAAACACACGCCCGTATTTTTTCTTCATTATTTTCACCAATATCTGCCGGCACGTCTTCATCATATTTACAAAGAACTTATCGCCTTCCACCACTACTGGCCGTTCAGGATCTTTCCCCAAGTCTAATGTTCTTGGTCTCTTTTTTCCAGCGTGCTTCTTGCTCTTTTTACCAACTAAATCAGGTTGGCGATGCTGCCTACTGACATTGGGGGGCAATGCCGATTGAGGCGGTGGTGCCATCGGTGGCTGTATGACTTCTCTGGCATGAAAAGATGTCCTGGGGACGAAATCTTGAGTTTCGATCCTGTCTAGAAGTCCTTGGACCCGATCTAGATCAGAGCTTAGCCTCTTCTTAAGGTCCTTCAACTCGCTTCTCGAATAAGAAGCCAAATTGAAAGTCACATACACTCTGTGAAATGAGTCGGTTCCATCATCAACAGCATTTGGTTTCCAATTGAACGGCACATTATTGCTAGCCATTATTGCCGGAGACGGAGCAGCCCTTGGGAGTGGATCATTGACTTGCCGAAGATGGGACATGGTTGAAAATTTTTGAAGGTTATAATTGGGGTTAGGGTTAGGGTTGAATCGACTGTGGAGCTGAGAATGAGCAGTGGGATTAGTTGTATATTTCCTTTTATAGGCATTCGGTTTATCCCAGTGCGGTTCATTTCTGCCGGTTAAAACAGCTGATGCCATAGAAGGTTAGGGGTTTGTTTTAAAAAGAGCTTGAAAACTCCGCCAATTATCTCCGGCGAGAAAATGGCGGGAGCCCATAACTGTATTGCCGGGAAATTGAATTGCCGCCAGGAGAAAATATAAGAAATTATTTCTTCACCGAATGAGAAATTGAGAAGAAGCAAAGCAAAGGGGAAGGTAAGGGTTTCGATGACCCTCTTGAACCTGAGTGATGAAATTCTTGAAGGCCATGATCTCCTCTTAAAGGCAATAAGATCTACCCTGTTTCTGTTTCGGGCAGTTTATGAGCCCTCGATTGAAAATCATAGGGTTGAGATTTATCCTTTACGCTGCCCACTATACTGACCTTGCCCACCTGTCATGGACGGCCTAGATTTACGTTACGTACACGTGGGGATAGATAAAGGCAACTGTTTGTGCCTTTTGGTGGGAAAAGTAAATTTTGGTTTCAAGTTTTCGGAGATTACAAAAAAATTGAGCCTTACAACTCGGAGGTGAGGTGGCGAGTTGATGACGTATTATTAGGTGGGGTCCATTCGACCGTCGAAAATATCTTCTTCTTTTTTTTTTTATTGCGCTTTATAAAATTTAGCGGAACTTTCTACCCGCCTAAATCCGGGATTATCTTTTCTTTCTTTTTGATTAATTGTATTGCCAGGTCAGCACCGTTATTGGTGCTAAAAATTTAATCCACATGTGCACCCCATTATTTTCATGATCACACTTCACATTTCCTTTTGTGTTTTTTTTCCTTCTAGATGAATGTGTGAAATCATACTCCCGCTATTTTATATTAACTGAATTTTTGAGGCGATATACACGTATTAAAAATTATGTTTTTGATTATTTTTATTTTTTAATATGTGTTCATTGCCTCAAAAATTCAGTTAATATGAAACAGAGGGAGTATATTATAAAATAATTGTCGAATAACTTAAATGTTCTTAAGGTAGATAATCCTTGCTTAATTTACTTGTATTAAACCTAGCACATAATTCATTTCATTAACTATTTTTTATTATAATGAGATAAACTACAGCCAGGCAATGTGAATGTATAGTTAAATTGTAATCATACTAGAACTCTAATCTCATAGGCTCAGTCCGGCGACTTCAATATCGTGGAGGTATCCCTTAGAGATGTTTTTTTATTTTATTTTTTGCTTTTTAATGTCATTAAAATTTATAAATCGTCAACTAAATATTATTGCATTTCCTTTTTCAAATTTTGAACTTTTTTGATTTTTTGAGTTTGGGAAAAGTAAATCAAAGAATTGATTTCTCATATGGTCACTCGATCAATTGTTACTATCATCATATAAAGTCACTTTCTTTGTTGAAGGAAAAATTGAAAATAAATCCGGAAAGCAAAAGAAGAAACAATAAACAAAACAAACAAAGAGGCATATCTAATTAACCTTTCACATGGTTTTCTTGTGGCACCTTTGTGCATTTATAGAATGAAAAGGAGTTTATGCAAGAAAAGTATAGCAACTAATTGGGAGTTTGTCACCAAATGTGCTTTAATTAGAAAGGTTGGTCCTACCAAATCTTCATGGGGTAGGTAGCATTGACTTTATCACCAGAAAGTGTTGTGAAAGACAATTGGAAGCAGCAAAAATAATCAAACTTGCTTCTATCAGTCCAATAAAAAGGACGTCCAAATAGGCTAAGCAACTTTTTTCAAAAGTGTACAACCTTAAGAGACTTTGCTTCTTTATTTTTCAAAAGTGTACAGCCTTAGAGATTTTGTTTCTTTAATGCGCTGAAGCCTGAATGGTATCTTATTGATTGCTCATTCAATAGTCTAAGCAACGTTCCGTAAGTAATATGCGGGCATTACTTATGCCTATTATGGTATGAAAATATAAATTTATGCCTTATTTGTTATGAGCGGCAAAAATGTGAATGAGTAAGGAAAATCCACTTGTATTGGGCCATAACATAAGATGAGCGTGCGAGATAAGGGCCGGGAGTCCATTATCTTTTGGATCTTTACCCAAAGAGTTTGGTTTTGGTGTTTACCTTTTCAAGTTGATATACAAAGATTATACACTTATATATATCATACGTTTGGAGGCTATATTTTAGTTTAAGTGATTGGGGTAGGCTGTTGTTTAGGTTAATCCTTCTAGGACAAATTACTTAACTACACTCCTTTACTTACCTTAATATCCATTTATCCCTACTTATTTCAAAATTTTCAAAAATCCCTTATTTACCTATGTATCCCGTGCACAACGTTATATATCTCGCTATGTGGAATGTATCAAACGCTATGTATCCCGCATGTATCCCGTGCACAATGCTATGTATCCCGCTATGTGGAATGTATCAACCCTAATGTATCCCGTGCACAACGTTATGTATCCCGCTACGTGGAATGTATCAACCCTAATGTATCCCGCATGTATCCCGTGCACAACGCTATGTATCCCGCTATGTGGAATGTATCCCGTGCACAACGCTATGTATCCCGCTATGTGGAATGTATCAAACCTAATGTATCCCGTCCACAATGCTACGTATCCCGCAAACATTATTTTTAAGGGATTTTTGGTAAATAGAAAACTAGAAGGAATAGGATGTTATTTAGTACTTATAATATGTGGTTCCTATAATTTATACCTTCTTCTAATTCTCTTTAGTAGGTCCAAAATGATGAAGTCTTTTGAGGAGGCCCAGTCAATTTGGTAATAGAGGTTCAAACATGATTGACTTGAAAGAGTGAGAGCAAATGTAATGGTAGTTAAATGAACAGCAAATCAGTAACCTAATTGCCAATTTATCCGTTTCTGTTTGAGCATGGTGGAAGCCTAATATATTAGGCATAAATACAGAATTCTGAGAGCTATTAAGAAGCATGAAGGTAAATGAGTAAGCAATGTTGGTTCTCTGGATGAAAGATTTTTATAAAACTGCACAACTCAATACTCAAAATTCTTTTGGAAGTTAAATTATTTGCCCAGGCCTAGTGCAATATAACAATGACCAATGACATGCGTCTTTCAAATAAAATTCATTTCATTACTTAACCATGTCTGCAAGTTATACATGATCATGCATAATCATCTAAATTGTATTGTTTCATTTAGATGAAGTTGCAACTACTAAATCATTATTTTGGAAACATTTCCCCAATGTTATTCTACCTCTATGGACTAACCAGCTTGTGAGTTACACAAGGAATATTTTGTTTGTGACAAAGCATAAATAAAAATTGCAAAAAGGTCAGGGTCTAGTTATCCAATATCCTTCTCTTTCTTACCTCTCCTTTTTTTATTTATTTATTTACAACCGTAGCCTAAATAAATGATGGAAAAACTAAAGAGATAATTTTTGTAGACATAAAAGCAAAAAGGACAGCTAAAGAGAAGAGAAGAAGAAGAACTCTTAGGCCAGCATCTATCAATGAAGCCACAAAATAAGGGGTAGACAGACCTTGCTAATGTTTATCTCAAAATGATAGAGTGCAACTTTGCTAAATGACTCACCCTAATGTTTATCTCATATTAAAATGGTTTTGTTTTTTTTTCTTCCTTTTTTGGTTTAAAAAATCAAGCCACATCATCAAAGAATAATTGAATATATACGATATTACTTTTTTTTATTTGAGTGAGACCTTCAACTGAAATAACAGAAGATTAATTAGCTAGTAATTTTAGTATAACAAATCACTTAGTTCACCAATTTTTCAATAACTATTTAAACAATGAACTCAATATCTAAACTTGTTTAAAAAGGAAAACTTCAACTTTGTTTTAAATTATTAGCCTAATCAGGTCTATATTCGCATTTGATGACACAATTGACATGGTTTTTCACGGATAGAATAATTGAAGTACTCAGGACAGTATTTTAATGGGTTGATCCTAAATATGCACAAGGCCAACTCTTAGGCAGAGTTGGGCCCGTCACCTATCAAGAGAATCCATCTAATGCAGGAAATAATATTGAAACTGGAAAAATAAAATTGTACACTGATCATATATTAGTTAGACTAATGAAAGCAGAATAGTTACCTAATCTGGAAAACTTGATCTGAATATTAAAACAGATAAATAAAGCTATAGAATTTACTTGCACCATACGATAGCAAGTAGGTGGCTTGCGTTTCATTCCTGGTTCCTACCTACAAGTAGCTAGGGCCTGATGATTGCATCACCACTCTATACCTAATTATAACTTCAATTTTTTTCTTTACTTAATTGGTTAACAAGCTTTGCGTACAATTTCTACATTATCATCTACAATAATTTGAATCGTCATTTCTAGTGACCTGTAAAACTCAGTTAATTATGTAACAGAAAAATAATAATCCAGCTTGTAGCTCACGAAGAAACAAACTTTACTAATTAAAGGGAAAAGCAGGAACAAGAAAAAGTTGTAGTGCTCCATTAATGATATGTAAGAGATCGTAGCTGTCGCCACAGATAGGACCACCATAAAGTATCAAAAAAAGAAAGAAGAAAACAACCTCAAGCTTTTTTTTAAGGGGAAAAATTGTATGATCTCCAACGAATGATGATGATGATAATTATGTACATAATGGGAAACATATACTCCATAAAAGGGGTAAAAATTCATTACACATAACAAAGAGTAAACAAACACCTTAGTAAATGACAATGGAAAAAGAAAGCAGTCGCTATTTACTCTATGTACCATTTTAGAATTCACCAATGTTGACCCAAAAAAGGAAAGAAGAAAAAAAAAAAAGGATGAAGGTGATATGATGACCTCTGTTACGATACGTTCTGATCAACCTTTGATTTCACGGCTGAGAGTATCAGTTGTAGACACAATCATCTTGTGCTGATCTGGGACCATCACCGAAGTCACTGCAGGCACAAAATTGTAGACAGGCTGGTCCATGTATTGGCCACCACCTGCAGCCACTACTCCCAACTGCCCAAACCCAGTGTGATACCCACCAGTCATCAGTGGTACCCCGTAAACCATCTGCACCGCATTACCATAGGCCCCACCATTCACACGTAACCCTTGTGTGTAATGATTCTTCACCAACAAGCTGCTGCTGCTGCTGGTGCTGTCACCACAAACTATTTTCGGAACTGCAATCACTCCGCTTCCCTCATTTTTTGACATATCCAATCCTGAATTTTCGGGGAATTGCAATTGCAGAAGATCCTCTGTTGCCGTTGAACTCGGGTTCGGGTTGTAATCCTTATCGAATCCGAATAAAAAATCCGGATTCAACGGCGATTCTGGTAAACGAATCGGGTAAAAGAGGAAAAGCCTTAACCTAGCGGGTTTTGTGGAAACTTTCTGCATGCGATCATATTCAACCATCATTTGCTCAACATCGTCATCATCGATAAGAGAAACAAGTGCATCGAGATCTTCGCCAGGCAACTGGTACTTTATTAAAACCTCCGCGTTGCAATTACAAAGACAATTCACCTTTGCAGCTACATCGGAAAACTTGACGTTCCGATCAACAGTGAGGATTTTGGTATCGCCGCCAACATAGGAGAGTTGATGATCGTGAGGACGAAGCTGGATTTTTCCACCATAGCTACACATTAGCTTAACCTTTTGATTCTCCATTGCTGCCGCCGCCGCCGCCAAAATTCAAGCGAGAAGAGAGAGGGTTTGGTATTTTGGGGATTTTCTTTTTAATTTTTTTTATGTTTAGATGAGAGAGATTATTATGAGTGTAGTACCTGTGCGGCGATACATGTGTAGAGTGATAGTAGTAGTTGGGGCTTTTAGAATTAGAGAGTTTGATCTTTAAAGGATTACTAAGAGGGTCCACACGGAAACTGATTTGCGCGTCGTGGGCCCACGGGTGATGGCCCACTCTAGCAAATTTGAGAAATATAAGGGGAGTTTTTGTTCTGAGAATGGTATCGGAATTAAGAATTTAATTTAGAGTTTAATGGTGAATATTTCATTTGTTTATTTTTACTTATCACTATTTAGCTTGGCATATTCATTAAAAAATAATTATTGAAATATGTATTTTACCATTGAAAAATAATTTAGAAAAAATGTATTTAATACTGAGTGTAAAACATAGAAAATATAATTGTATTTTCTTAATATATTAAAAGTGATAAGTAAAAATGAAAATCTATTTTAAAATAAAGTGATTAAGTCAAAGTGAACGGATAGACTATTTATACTACTTCATCCTTTCAACAATAGTTGTACACTTTACTATTGGGATGTTCAACAATACTTGTCCACTAAATTAATAGATAATTTTACACTTAATTTATAATTTATTCTTATTATTAATGATAATTATTTCTTTATTATATTTTTCAAAATATTAATTTACTGTATTTAAAAGGTGATATAATAAAATCATTATTTTAATTATAGTTTTTTTGTGTAAAATTAATAGTGGACAAGTATTGATAGATGAAGAGTGAGTATTTATTTTCCTTTAGAATGATGTGGACAGTTCCTTTGATTGACATTCATTCAAAAGTAAAATAGTAATAAAGAGTGACGAGGACTATTTTTTTTGCAATCTTCAAATTCAAAATTTAAGGTTTATGCACTAATATAATTATTTTCTTCATGTACTCTATTATTATATCAGCTATTGCCAACTGGACATGAAGTTTTGTCGTTTATGGTAGCAAATGGGATATATTTTAGATGACATTTATTTTCGAAATCTTTTAAAGATTTTTCTTTTGGAAATTCTTGCAAATGTTTCGTTCACCTAAATTCTTTTTCCGGACTTTGGAAAAATTAAAGAACCTTTCTCTAATGAGATTTGATTACAAAATATAAACTAATTTTTGTACAAAACCAAAAAAGAAAAAATCATCAATTTTTTTTTAATAAAATCACCTTATTCAATTATATACATTAACTTCAATAGAACATGTATGTGATTTTATAGCTTGTTGAAGATAATGTGACATATTTTAGTGAATTAACTTATTTATATAATGAATCTTTGAAAATACACGCATACTTTTTTTTAGTAAAATTAAGCTACAAATATAATAAAAATACTTTATTAATATTAACATAAAACGAATCATAATTCAAATATTTGATTAATATATACTAGTCCCTTTAAAGGATTGTCACATAATCGCTGAGGAAGGTAAATGTTTTTCAAAAATAAGTATGAATGTTTTCTTGATTGTAAAGCTGATAGCATACAGGACCTAATTTTCTCAAATTATTGTTTTTAAGTGTTTTTGAAGACTAATTTTGAAATATTAAAGGTAAACCAAATTCAAACGATATCTAAGATTTTGACGTACGAAATTTAAAATTGAAAAAGAGAAATTAGGAGACAAAAAGATATGGACAGTTGATGGGAAATGGGCGTGCGTTGCCCCACGTAAACACAAGGCTCCACCCAAACATCTTACAACTAGTCTTTGAATCTAGTCTATATTCCACCAAATAAAATAAAAAATATTTTGTTACTCCCTCCGTCTCTATCATGTTAGCATTTCATATAAAAAATATATTATCTTATTATAATTAAAAATAATTTAATTTAAACATTTAAAAAAAAATATAACTTTAAAATATCGTATTAGTGTAAATCAATTCAATTTTAAAAATTAATCAAATTAACTCTTGAGAATTGATTAGCAAAAATCCTTTTAAATTCTCAAATGTTAATTGGTTTAGGATTTGAAAAAAAGAGCGCCAGCTAATCTTTTAAAAACATTAAAGTAGTGGAATCCACTTCCTCAATTTCTGCCGTCAGTGAATTAGAGTAAAGCCTTTACTACAAAAAGAAAAATATAAATCCATTCTTTTTTAACACAAATTAGAATATTCCTAGTCAATAAAGGTACATTTACATTTTCCGTTTTTTTTCCCTCTCTTTTCATTATCTGTCAAAAAGTTATTTATATTATACCAATAGTTTGATTATAAGTATTTGAACATATACTTGTTTTTATTTAAAATAACGTAATTGATATATATATTTTTATTTTATTAAATATGATTTGGTATGAATATGAATTAAGATTTTACCTACACTTGAATCCAAAAAAGTGAAAACTCTTACATCCTGTCACATTCATGTTCGTCCTTTTTTGTAATGAAAATCTCATATTTAATGAGTGAATGGTACTATTGACGACAACTGGAAAGCAGTAATCTAGAGATCATTAAAGTTCAAACATATGATACTATTGTTTGAGTTGTTCTGTACTTTTTAACTGTCCCATTAGAAACTTCAAATAAAAATTGAAGATAATGTTTATGAATATTACTCACGCTTTCCTCTATTCATTCACTGTATTAAAAATAAATGTTCATATTTGATATAATTCAAAATTAAATTCATGTAATTTAATGTAAACATCAAGTAAGTTGATAGTGTGAATGTTACTGGGGAGCGTAGAGGACAGTAAATTAATTTTTCCCTGCTATAATTTAAGTTGTTCAGAAAGAAGAAAAAACTCCCCGTAATCTTAGTCCTTAAATTTGGGAAATTAGTGGATATGAAACTTTGAATGGAGCAGGAAAGTTTGAAAATATTGCACTATCTCATATTAATATATTTTTGTCTGATATGTGAAATTTGTGAGATTTGATCTTCGACCCAAATTGACTTAGAAATTAGAATCTAACGATTCGTTCAACAAGTTTACAAGGAAAAGATGACGATTCCCTTTTTTTTTAAATTTATTTTCCTTTCATTTTTACATAACCAAAAGTGGACCAGGAAATTCAAGTATGATCGTTATTTGTTAAGGTAACTAAAATTATGAGATAAATCCTAATAGTTTAGTTGATTGTATATCTGCACTTTTATTGATGACCGATGAGGATCGATTTCCCATCTCATAATCCTCTCCTTATTTCTCCTTTTCCCTACCCGCTACCCCATGTATAATTAAGAGAGAATTTAAAATCATGACACTAGCTACTTGAATCATTATCTTCTTGATCATAGACTAAAAATGTCATTAATATTGACACGATGTTACTAAAATTCAAACTTGTGAGAGTACGTGTATATCTTCTTGGCTACTTGACAAAAAGGTGACAAATATTATTACTATAAAATATCAAAAAAATTCAAACTCCGAGACTATTAAAATTGTTGCTATTAAGGGTGACGAATATATATTACTCGTTATAAACACGAACAAATTAACTATCAAGTGTGACTGGACGTACCCAGGAATAAAAAAAAGCTGGTGACTCTTATTATATATATAAAATACTTTTACCAACTGCTGCAGTTATTATGTGTCATTTTCTTTTTGGTTCAATTTGATTGTAAACAAGAAAGGAAGAATCCTGAAGCTACCATTGCATGTGAAACAAGCAAAAAGGTGCTTTTTTCGTTTGTTCTATTTCACATGCAAATCATAATTTTTTTGGCCCACCGCATACAAGCACAACGACCAGAAAAATTAATAGAAGCTACACCACAGACACTACTACAATTCCAGAAAGAACACTTTCCTCTCACAAGTCATAAACAAGAGATGAGAGGGGTTGCTCAAGTAGTAAGCATGCTCCTCGAGTTCTCAACGAGCAAAAAAAATAAATGGGAAGCGGTAAAAAAAAGAAAAAAAAAAGTCATAATAAATATGAAAAGAAAAATAAAAGTAACATTCGTGCTATTGCTTCATGTGAAGACATAGCTGTATGTTGAAGGTATATACGACCTTTATAGCTTCCACATGTACTAATCATTAAATTACTCAATATCATCATGAATTCAAATTTTCTTTTCTGCACTTTGCATCTCACTCTCATTCCAAATCTTTGCATCAATGACGTTGGTATCAGCTGGATCACATCCTTTTTGTTGATACGAAAAGAAAAGCTTCACATAATAGTCGTAAATCACAAATCTAGCATGTGAAAACAAACGTTTTAGCTCAAAGATGGACTTTTTGTATTAGAATCCATGTCAAATGATCAAACAATTCTGGAAATATGAATATGTGATAGAAACAGTTTCAAGCATTAATAGTAACAGAGAATAAAAGGGACAATTACAAATCTTTGACATTCTTATTGAATCTGTAATTGTACAAATGAGCATACAAAAATCCAATAATTCCTCAACTTCATGCTCTGGTGCTAAATGGAGAAAAATCTGAGAATCAGGTCACAACAGTATTCTTATTCTATGAACATTTCAGGCAAGAAAACCCTCCGATGCAGAGGCAATTGATTTCCTCAATCATAACCACGATGGCTCTTGTCACAGTTCAATGAATACAATATGCTCAATATCATCTAAAATCAGAGTATGTTCACCGAGTGCCAGTATTCTGTTTCCTTGGTCATTTGAAAAGCTGAGAAACTCGCAAGGATTTATCGAGAGACTTGTTTCAACAGATTTACGTGCTGGGACATGCACGCGATCAAATCCCACTAGTTGTTTCAGTGGAGCACCTTGGATATTCTGTGGCACACGTGAGAATAACAGTAGAACATGGTTTCCATCCATGTCCCCATCATTTGTGACAGAGATATGAATGAAAAATTTAGACAAACTACAACTTGGAACTTCGTCAACATGAATGTAACCAAGCCTACTGTGTTCTTGGGCAAGTATATTCCTTTTCCAATTAGATTTACCAAGTGATAAACTCAATCTATTTGGTGCAGATAAGAGTTGCGAAGAGAAGCTTGTATAGCTTAATCCATGTCCAAATCCATATAGCGGATCTCCAGTGTAAAACCGATAGGTTCTTCCAGGATAATCATTTGCAGGATCAGCTCTCATA